TTGTCCCGCGGCTCGGCCTAGCGCGGGGCCATCCACTCCCGCAGGACGCCCCCAGTGAGCCCGGCCAGGGCTCCGCACAAACTGAGTCCCGCGAAGGGGAGTCAGGACTAGAGTTCCAATTGCGCCTTCGCTGCGGAGCGGGGTGAAACTCCGCTCGTCGGGTTTGATCGCTTAGTTTATAAAGACACTGAACACATGCAGGCGCATTCACACCCCGCAACGTCCCAGCCGCACTTTTTTTTTTTTCCTTCCCTGCTAAATTGCTCTAGTGAAATGGAAGCAGGTTAAGCTCTGAATAACTGTAACCGCAGAATAATTGTAAGATGGCAAATCAACCCCCGGACAACTAGCAAGAAAGCTTGTTTGTTGTTGTTCAGTCCCATCCGCTCACTTCTATCTTCCCCAACCCTCCACCCCAACTTTCGTTTGCCAGAGATGCCCTCCCGCAGCCCCCTCCCCGGGAATTGTAGCCGCCTCGACGGGTCCTGTCTAGGCTTCCTCTAGGGATGTGTTCGTTTACCTGGTGATGCTGCTTAGTAAAACGCTCGAGTTAAAAGGAAATGCTAAGGAGGAGAGCAGGGAAGATGAGATGCGTCTTGCCTGGTGGACGCATTTTCATGAGAAAGGCACGGTCTTCACCCCGTGTTTGCAGAATGCGGCTATACGGACGTCCCTTCAATAGCTTCTGACCCCACACAATCCGTTTGATAACACTCGAGAGGTGGAAGAATGGGAGACTTTGTCAATCAAATGGTGCCAATCCCAATGGAAACGGTGCCACCAAGACCGCAGCGCGTTTCCTCATCAACTGGATTGCGGGGGCTGGGAACTCAAGGATCAGCTTTTGAAAGTGCGCACAGGGCTCTCCAAAGGCAACAATGTCTTTTTTATACGAGCTGCGGTGCCTCCCCAATGGGAAGCCAATGTGCTCGTCCAGCCGCAGCCGCGGAGGGGCCGCAGCTCGGACTTGCCACCCATTTCGCCGCACAGCAGCCGCGGAGGCGCGGGGGAGGGGGACGTCTCTGCCTGTGTCTCTTCTCGGCATTTTGCCCCAAATCGCTCTTCCCTTTTCAGACACTTTCAGCTAGAAACGATGGCTCCGCTGCCCTTCCCTCCGCAAGCGGGGCTCATGCAGGAGCTCGAGCCCGATCAGAGCAGTTCTCCAACACGTGCACCCAGACGCCCGGGGCGATGGGCTCTCAGTACGTGCCTAAAACCTTTGAAGCATCTGAGCTCGATGGGGAGAGGAGAAAGGTACTAAACGACTTGTTGGCAGTTCTTTCTCGAAGAGAGGTATATTTTTTAAGGCGTAACTTATTAACGCAAAGGCACAAGGCACTGTGTGTCCCCAGGGGGTGAGTGCGGAAGGGCGGGTCGCCGCTGTGACTTCTCGCACAAATACGCAAGTGTCCAGCTCTTCCCGCACACGCTCCCGGGGCCGGGGGTCCTTCCCTGCAACCGCGAGTCTGCCCTGAACCGCCAGCTGCCGCTGGAGCGAGAGGCTGGAGAGCTTCCCCCGCGGCGGCCAGAGCCCTCCCTGAGGGAGACTCCGTGAAAGTGGCAAGAACTGAACTGGGCTGAGCTGTTGCTTCTACCCTGATCTTTGATTCATCAGCACAAATCTAGCACATACATATAGAGGCATTTAAATTGTCCTCCAATACCCCCTCCTCTGGAAAATGTGAGACAGTCCCCCGCCACCACCGGGACAGCCAGCTGCCAATGCATCCCGTTGGGCCGACTTTCCGTGAGCGCTGAGAAACTTCAACGTTAATTCCTTGGGCACGTGGGGCTAATAAAACCGCTGTCCCGGTAGTCCCCAAGGACCAGGAGTGCCCGGTATGGTGCGGGCGTGAGCGGTCCCCGCGTGGGACGGCCACTGCCGTTGTCACCACGGGCCACGCCGGGCAGGGGGCAGGACGCGCGAGGGAAGCTCAGCTCCGCAGCACCTTGCCCGGGTTGTTTCACTAAAACGGGAGAAGCTCCGGAACTGGAGGAGGTCAGGGAAACCTCCTCACCTAGCGTGGGCATCCGAGCGAGCAACTGGAGCCTAAAGAAACCACCCACCCCCCACCTCAGTGCACCTGCAGCTACTCGGTGCATGGAGGTCCCTGCATATGAGGTGTCTTGGAGGCACTTTGGTGACCAGTCCTCGGACCCCACTTGCAAGCCTGCTTGGTGCAGAAGCTGGTGCTCTCAGCACTTTTCCCTGGCACCTCTCGGGTGGCTGAAGCCCTATCCTGATCTGCCACCTCGTCCTTGGTCACTGCATTCCTGGACAGAAGGGGACACACAGGGCCAGGCACAGTGTACTAGGGCAGGGTTTGGGGGCCGCGCCAAACACTAACTCTGTCTCATGCTGGCTCCTTTCTCGTTAACAGTTAATATATTGTCTTTTTCAACCCTCCACACTTGCCTTCCCAGTGTCTCTAGGTTGTCACAGCTACAACACTTTCAGTGCAAGTGTTGACCCATCTAGATTTATATTGTCCCAGAAGCATCTCTGCTGCATCTGAGTCAAGGTGATTTTGACTGGGAGCTGGTTGCTGAGGCAATTTGCACAGCTGTACTACAGAAAGATTTAATTAAAAAAGTATGGATTATACAGATATAAATTCAAACCTGAACACTCATCACTTACCATTAAATACCTACAAACAGAATGCCATCTGGATTGACATAGTTATTTTATATACAGATGTTTAGGATGCCTAAGATAGGAGATATGCTCTTGTATACATGTATATACCACATGTATGCGCATATGTGAGGAGTGCACCTCTCAGGCAATGGACATGTGCCTATGTACATTTGTGCATATATTTATAGTCCTTAGTCTAGTCATCTGTAAGTGTTTCAGAAGGGAACGCAGCTTTTAAAACTGTTTTTTCACATTCCTGCCCTTTCTTTCCCATTCCCTAGTGAGCTCCGCGGGAGCTGAGAGCTGCTCCTGCCCTGGCAGTGGTGGCGTGGCCTCTGCCCACGATAGCACCGGGGAAAAATCCCGCAGTCCCCGCTGGGGAAGGGGAAACACCTCAGGTCCGGGCGTGACACTGGACACCCAGTTACCGCTGCTGATGGACAGACGTGTGCCCAGAGGAAGGGAGACGAGCAGAGTGGTTTGAGTTATCCCTTCCTTGCTTTGGCCGGGGCACGGGGGACTTGAGCCTGCCCTGGGCGTGCGTGTGCAGAGATGGAGTGAGGATGGAGCAGGGATGGAGTGAGGATGCGGTCGGGGATGGAGCTGCAGCAGAGCCCGGGGGCGCCGCCGGGAGTACGTGCGCTGGCGGGAAGGCGACCTTTCCCCCTCGACCTTTCCCTGGGGGTAACCAAAGCTCCCTTTTATTTTCAATGTCACTTCGGAGTTTGTCTTTTGTTTCCCGCTACCTCTCGCTTCCAGGGATACAGGCGGCTTCCCGCTGGCTCGGGGAGGGGCGAGCGCTTGCAAAGATATCTCATTTAAGAGCGACAAAGGAGCCCTTTCGACCGGCCCGGGTGGTGCCGAGCTTTATTTTGGGGCTGGGGGAGGGGAATTGTTTGCTTTGCTTTTGTTTTCCCGGCAAAACTCGCGGGCAAGTTACAGAAGGGCTGCGAGCAGCCCCAGGCCAGATTGCCACCGGGAATCGGGCAGGGCCACCCAGCCAAGGACGGGGCCGCAGCCGGCACCTCCAGGCAACCGCGCAGACCCGCGCAGACTGCGCGGCCTCGGGTGGGTCTGTGCGCGGCTACCCCTCTGCCACTTGCCTCCCACAGTCCTCCAGTCACTGCCAGAGTCCTCCAGGCACTGCCTCCCGGCGCTTCTCCCGCTTGCAGCTTGGCCTGAGCATCCCCAGGAGCTTCACATCGGAAGAAAGATGCCAGCTGGCCCCGTCAAGTCTTTTATTTATCTATCTATCTATCTATCTATCTATCTGTCTGTCTGTCTGTCTGTCTGTCTGTCTGTTTGTTTGTTTATTCTTGACAAGGGCAAGCTCTGCAAGGTAGGACGCTGCGTTTGCGCTCCCGAGGCTCCCAAGCCCGTCCAGGAAGGGATTTACCGGATCGGGGCTCCCTGTGGCCCTTTGGGTGCGGGCGACCCACAGCAGCCTCCGCTGGACGTCGGGCGAAGTGCAGCGCAGGCAAGGGAATGGGGACATAAAGCCAAGACAAAAAAAAAAAAAAAAAAAAAAAAAGGAACAGGAGGGGTTATGTTCGTTCGCCCTCTTCGGTGATGGGTATGATTATGCGGCTAGTCATCCCTTTGCGTTGTTGCCCCATCTGTGCATTTCTCTAGATTTAGAGAGTGGGATTAGCCTCTTCAGATACATTATCACTCTAGCATCTCCTTTCCACAGCCTCCTGTGCAGGGGTCTTCTCTGTCTTACAGAAAGTACTGGTGATGAGCCTGTTCCTGAATCAGGGCAGGGATCTGTTATAATCTGTGGCCACTGCAAGGGTTCACTTTGGAGTGATGCAGCCAAATTTATGTTCAAATTTGTGCTCTTGAAAATTCATGGTTGCACACACACACACACACACACTTCTTACATAAAAACTGTCTGTTGGGCATGATTCTGCCTCTTGGTCACCCCTAGGCCTTCAGCAAGTGTGTGCAGACCACGGGGGCTGAGCTCAGCTCCTCCTCTGCAGGGGCTGCCTGGTTGTCAGTCTGCACCACTTGCTGGATCATTCACTTTTCCAGAGGCAGGGAGTCTATTGGCCATGTCTCTCTCCTCCATGACAAACTTGCCTTCATCAGGGGATGAAGTACTAAGGGGTAGAGCTGAGATGAGTCACTGCATCGAGGCATGGTAGGACAGTAGCACCTTGGGCTGACCAAATTGCCTACTATGAGAGTTAGATGGACTTTATTTTCCCCTTATGTGAGCCTTAAAAATCAACATTTTCCCCTTGTATATGAATATGCAAAGAGACACAATTCTCTCTTGATTTGCACTTCCTGGGATAGAGGATGTAGGAAGGTTCCTAGGAAAAAAAGGTCCACTTCAGAAGCCCAAGGGCAATTCCAGTCATGTTTCAGAGGTGTCCTTTTCAGCTCATGGGAACCAAAGTCTCCTGGGAAGATCATGCCCTCAGCCTGGGTCGTACAACTGGTAGGTCTAGTTAAAAGCTGGTGTAAAAAGCTGCAGCACAAAGGAAGCCATTTGTAGCAAAACTCAACAATGAACTTTATTGGTCCTGCTACGGAACTCGGAACTCGTTAAGCTGGACGCTCTGGATCATTTTTCCCAGCCTGTTTTTTGTTAACTAGGTACTGACATATGGCCCAGAGTGTGAATGTAACAGGTGCTTCCCTCCTGTCAGCATTCAGTTAGTAGCTCAAATAGCTCCATTTATAGGTGCCATGCTGCAAGAGTTTTCTGCTGTAAGCAGGGTCTCCGACCTTCCTTGCACAGTGGCAGGGAAGCTCTTCTTGGGCCATGAGACCTGTGTGCAACAGGACTTTGGCTGCCCTGTCAGCTGCTCTCATCGCGTCTATGGTGATGGTCCAGAGAGAACAGCCTGGAAGCCACAGCAGGATCCATCACCTGGGCCACCCTGAAGTGCTGTATCTACCCAAAAGTGCTGTAAAAGCAATGCATGTGGCCTACTCACTCCAGC